CGCCTTCTCCATTGTTAGGTATTTCTCCGCGTTAAATATTGAATATCTATTTTCAGAGTAGTCTCGTGTTCACAGCTTTGTGGATTGTGTGGCTATTGTCCAATGCCACTACATGCCTACCCAATCTATCGGATGTTGCTTGGAAGTCACACGATTGTCTACACTGATTCATCCCATCATGTTAGTTAGAATCATGCTGTTAAGCAGTTCCGTCGAACGTATCTGGGTAGATTATAGAAAGATATATTTGATGCGAAAAAGAAGACGTTACATGATCTGACCACGTCTGTATTGCTGACCTTTACCTTACAGTCCAAGCATTCCTGCGTTCACCGTTTCAGCTTCAGTTTGGAAAATACAGTAGGCTAGATTGTCTCTATTTGCCCTGGTAATGGTGATCTCTCAGTTGGTTTAACCTCCTCTAAAGTCCTTTGTCTGATAGAGGTTCAATCATTTGTTAGAGTGATGAATTCTATTCGTTCATAATTCGAGGAAAAAGTTAAAAAACAGCTGACAAGTGATTTGTTCTGAGCTTTTGAATTTTTTGGTGTTCCAAGTTCTTTGTTTTGGAAGACCAGAAAAGTGAGGGCATATAGTTTGTAAAGTTATCATTATATAATTAAAATATGAGATCTCGTCACCTCTAGTTCTTTTACATGACAAGTGAAATAGGTTTATTTTAACCAGTTTATCATCATACGGAAACATCACGATTTCTGAAATCAGTTCATTTGTGATTTTATGAGCCTTTCATAAGAGCATACTGCCTCATATTTGACAGAGGTTAGCATCTTGTATGCATTGCTTGATTTTCGAATGAACTAAATCTTTATACAAAGGTGACAGGTTATCAACACTGACATGACTAAATGCTGAGCGTATGGGCCTTAGCATTCGAAGAGTTTCGCCGGCTACTGCAGGGTAGTGTGCAATTGTTTTCAAGTCTTGGTTAACAATGGCTCCTATGTCATTTTGTGTTTGGACAACAGGTAGCTCAATGTTGTTCACTGTGTATGTATCCGTACCTTGACAGTCGATATGCAAAATAATGCACCTGAAAGTATTTATCCGAAACTGCTGAAGTTCAGACAAGTCGAATAGTTTCTCCAGGTCACTTTGAAGCCCTTATCTTTCACCTTCAAGTTTTATTACTCTATATGTTGATACACTCATCATATAGCAAAACTGATGGTGATAGGGCACGAAAAAAGTTATTTGCATACAGGAGTAACACCACTGTTTGTTATTTATGTCCATAACTAACCAATCAAGGCGTTGTTTATGCGCCTACCACATCAACGTTGTCTGATATGTCCGTAGACTATCCTTGTTTCTTGTGACCTTTCATTAGAAGGACATCGTTATACTACTATGTTATTGTGACTCATGATTTTTATTCACTTCAATAAGACACGCAATACTGGCCGGCATATTTATGCATTCCACTTAACGACCATAATTCATTTGGTTATTGAACTAATCGAAATGTTTTTACGTCCAGAAACAGATATGATTTAAAAACAAGCCGTTCTTGTTCTGACTATAGCTTTCACATAGACTGATATCGTTAGTATCGCATTTACAGTTCTAGTACAATATCTGTAGGATATAGTAAATCATAAACTGGTGGAAAATGTACCAAGTACCAGCTACAAGTTCGTTTGTGCTCTTTGTTGATGTACAATTGGGAACTCCTTCATCCGTATAAATAAGTCGCCTCCAATCCCGACACCTCTTAACTTAGATAGCAGTCAGTTGTGAGGATCTTTGTCAAAACTCTTAGTGAAGTCAATGTAGGCTACACCTGCAAGTAAATTTTAGTATTTAAGAGAGCAACAACTTTCAAGGACTACCAGTAACTTAGTGAGACGTGAATAATTTGATATAGGGCCATGCCACCTATCATGAAGGATATGGATTTCGTCTATATTCTTAGCCAACTTCTTCCGAATAAACGTTTTTAAACTTTTAAAAACCACTTTGATTAGCTTACAGATCGACTGTTTTCGGGTTTGCGTATTGTTGCCGTTTTGAAGACTGAACTTACTGAGGCGTTCTTCAGTCCTTTGGTAATCCACCTTTGGTTGCAGACAGATCAAGATATGCAATTAACGGATTTGCGATAATTTTTTCTCGTTGATTTACCATTCTCCAACCGAACTGTCTGACACGGTGTAACCCAATATAACTATTGTTCCAGTCATAGGTACAATGACGCACTGTCATATGGTTAGGATTAAATAAGAAACAAGCCGATCGATGAAATGCCATTATGTGGTGGTTCCATTTTAGTCTGTATATACAATATGCTTGTAGATCACTAACGTATGTGATCCGTGACGAATGGTTGTGGGCTTACACGAGTTAGACGGTAATGGTTTGATCAACCAGCTAACGTCAAAGTCACGCCTTGCGGTTAGGACCAAACATGGATTAGTCTTTCGTTGTATACAGGTATTATGACTGTTTTGATGAACACACAACACAAACGGCGTTGTTACAGAAACATCGTAGTAAGAGTAGCTACAAGAAAAAGGCTGGGACCATCATCGCATAGGCCAGTTCGCGACGTTCCCCTGACCTTGAAGAGAGTAAGTGAACCTCTCGACATTTATTTAGCCGACTGCTAGATGATTTGGGTATGGCCCATTGACACTTCACTGGCCCTACATGCTATTGGAGTGTAACGAGCTGTGTATATGAGGATATCGGGAATAAGGGGTGTGAGAAAGAATGCGTCTATAACTCGCCTGGTACACAGACCTCACTTATGGATGATGGTGAAGATGATCGACAAAAATTAAGAAAGAATAACAGGACAGAGGTTAGGAAAATCTGTTAGTCGAAACATGAAGTTATGGTAGAGTTTCAAATGCTTCGCGCAGACCACATGACTACGTTCTACTACCATATTCTGTTGTGATATCTTTATAGAGCCTAAAATCATGGCGATCATTTAGGGTACCATGGATTACTTTCCTTGTCAATAAGTATACGCTACGTTTATTATTACAAATACTTGTCCTAACCACGCAGAGATACCAGCCATAAAATTTGCATATGTGACTGGGGAAACTGTTCACCCATTGATAACTAACCACAAACCTTTAATATACCGGGACCTGACGGGTTACATCCATGGCTGCTGTCATCTCTCGTGACACCCTTAAATATGTCCCTTTCACTCTCCCAACTACCTAGAGATTGGAAAGACGCTATATTCAGTCCTGTATTTAGGGATGGTCAGAGACAGATCGTATCTAACTACCCACCTGTCAGTCTAACCAGCGTGGTCGTTAAGTTACTGGAAAAGATAATTCGGGTTAAGTTGTTAAGTCAAACAGATTCACACAATCTGTTAGCTCCTGAGCAACATGGGTTTTGTAACAAGCGTTCATGCTTAACTAACTTACTTATTGCGAGAGGGGATTGGACTGCAGCCTTAAATAATGGTCTGTCTGTCGATGTGACATTCATAGATTTTAGCAAAGCATTTGACAAGGTTTCACAGTTAGGTTTTATACAGAAGCTCTCAAACTTCGGAATAATAGGTTCTGTTCAGGAGTGGATAGGAAACTTCTTGTGTGACCGTATACAGAGAGTGAGGGTCAATGGAGCGCTATCCGACCGGAATCCGGTCAAAAGTGGTGTACCCCAAGGCACCACCTCAGGCCCCCTGCTCTTCCTTCCCTACGTTAGCGAGTTAGCGCTGTTGCTTAGGTCATTGTTATTATTGTTTGCAGATAAAGGATACCAACTCACTTGAGCGTTTCCAGAGTGTGAGGAAAAATTAGTGAAGGGTCTTTCTAAAATCCCTTATGATGAACGTTTAAAACGCCTAAAACTTTTCCCCGTGTTGTATCGTAGGACACGAGGTGATATTATACTGGCATTTCGTATCTTTAATTATGATTTGGGTGTTAATATGTCTTATCTTTTTGCTCCCTCCATCACTAATAATCTCCGAGGTCATAACAAGAAGGTTCGCAAACTGCAATCTAACAAACTTAATGTGGGGTCCCATTTTTCTCATCGAGTAGTCAGTGACTGAAACATCTTACTCAAACAAGTGGTATTAGCCCCATCAGTGAATATTTCAAAAGAAAAGCAGGACCTTCACTGGAAGGCAATCTGTCAGGATTAACACAGGTTCACCAACCTACCATCCTTAATACTGAAGACTGTCAGCGCAAATTTTGTTGCTTACGGTACATCCAGTATTTCTGAATCTTTGTGCAAACTAGTCGAAACCATATCTGTTTTTTTAAAATTTGGCGTTACTTGTATAAAATGTTGTATCCAAAATAAAACTAAGTTTTTTCTGGTTGAAATTGTAATTTTTATATATCATTCAATAGCACTAATCTTTCCAGGCGTATGTGACTGTTTATATGTACCTTGTTGGCAGCATTTTCTCGCCTGACCAATAAGTTGAGATTTCTGAAAGCTTAGAATTCCATGGAAAACTTATGTATGATTGTCGTTCACATATAACAAGTTGGACAACCTGTTTTTGTGATGAGATTTCTTACTAGCAACAATTATTCTGGTATAGGTGGGAAATTGGAAACATCTAGCAACGTTTGGTTGTTAGTTTAGGTTCTTCAGATACTTTTTGTGTGTACATACCCGGACTCCTAAACAGGATTAAGCCAGTCACTGTAAAGTTAAACTAGTTAACAAAAACTTTAGTTCATGAGTGACAATATAACACATCAAATCAAAAAATCTACCAAGTAATGTTTTCGCGTTGTTTCACCGCATCTCCACGAAGCCTATGCCGATGCAACGAGATAAAGATATGCTGCTTATAATAGCGGGGATAACTAAGAACAGGAGTCATGGAATCTTTAATTGGTCCTGTACCTTACCATTAGATAGACAGTTAAAATAATACCAATCTAATATCTTATTTTCATGTCGTTCGTTTTAGAGACTTCATTGTCAACGATTTTTAAAATGACATAACCATCGTAAATCGCGTTGCTATATAGTGTGTCATGGCACGGAGTTTTTGGCGCAGTTCAAACTAGTAAGTCTTGCTATTCTCTGTTAGCTCATCAGGCTTAACTCCTTTATTATTGAGTAATTAGCACATTACCGCTTATTTTCTGTATTTGACTTATTACATACATCAAATCAGTATATACTACTGCCTGACAACACTATCTTTAACAGATATTTCTAGTTGATATAAGCTGCATTTAATGGAGATGCAAATAAGGATACCATGAGAATGTCCATTAAAATGTTGTAAGTTGCAATATGTTACTCGATTGCCTAATTGGATGATATAGCAGTGATTGGTGATTAGAGTGAAACTAAACAACTCATACTTCATCGTTTGAATGGAAGCTACTCTTTTATATACTTCAACAGTTCTCATTCGATAAATTTATATTGGATTAAGGGAGAATGCAAACAAAAGCCCTTACACATTGCTTACTTTCAACAACCACGTCTCCTAGTTGTACATTGCAAAATAGGTTATATAGAGAAGTTACCTACTTACAGGAAAAGTAGTTTGTATTCATATATCGCTACACTTTTGTTTCATAGTATCTTCCCTATTCATACTTATTCTTTAATTTACAGTTTAGAGTGGTTATTGGATCGTCAAGATGTAATGATACATAGAGCGAATGATTTAAAAATTCTTGGTAGCGAAGAAGAATATCAGAAAGTAATGCTTTTCTTTACTGATGGTATGTTATGCTTTAAACCTCATAAATTTCTGGCACCGTTATCACCACTTTCATTTTCATTTAAAAATTGTCTTTCCATCTTTATAGTCATTCAAGCATTTGGCAAAAGCGTTGAAGTCCGTCAACAAGTAATTGCAACCGCTTTAGTATATTTCAAAAGATTTTACAGTCGGTAGGTTGCATATGAGAGGATATTATATGTAACAATAAAGCAATTCCTTTAAGACTATCGACCCATGGTTAATGGCTCCATCGTGTCTGTTTTTAGCATCTAAAGTTGAGGTTGGTTTGCTTATTCTAAAAAAATTATGTCGAACAAATCTTTACCGATTTTAGGAATTTGGTGTAGTTTCTCAAAAAAATCTAATGACATCATGTCGTAATGTGGGTAAGTTCTGTTTTTTAAAACTATTAATTCGGTCAATCCTAGTTCATAGTCATTATTTAATCTATTTTCCTGATGGTTACGGTTATCCATATCGTGCTCAAGATGTATTGGAATGTGAATTTATTTTACTTGAAGCAATGGTGAGAAGATTGTTGTTTTGGTTAATTTGTGATATTAAGAAAATGGGGGTGATGTCATTTTATTGTCGAAAATAATTCGTGGAAAAATATTGGTCATGAGGGTTGGAGAGTTGGGACTATTTTTTATATTCACATCCTACCAATAATAAAATAAATTAAGTACAACCATAACAGAGAGATTATCCTTGGTTCTATCAATCGTGGTTTGATATATGGTCATGAGCTGTGTAAAGCTTTGGCTGATAAGGTACAGTAGTCCTGGAAGTGGTAGATAGTATTTATGGAGCCATTAAGCTTTTCTTTGCGTCTTTGAGGGAGATAATTATAAGCACTAAATCTTGGTGTAAGCTTTTTGCCCACTTGCATTCCACATCAAGCAGTAATACATTTTCTGCTTTAGTCATAATTGAATTCTGAAGTTCTCTAAATATTTTATTTTCAGGATTGTTCATTAGTCGTCTTTCATCCTTATCGTCCGTTGGTACAGTTTTGTGATGAACTTCGCCCTCAAATGCATGAGTATGCTGACGTACTGTTAGAGCGTGCTTGGTAAGTCGTTTCCTGTAAACCTTCGTACAGAACATTTTAAGTTATTAAACAAACACACCGAAGGTCTATATGCTATTTGTCTCAACCAAAAACTTTATATATTTCTTGCAAATTATGTCTGTATGTTGTGGTCAGTGTTGCTTGTGGAGTACTAATCTGGACACTTCGGGTTCATACAATTTAGTCTCAGTTTAGAATCCAAGTGATCGTATAGTACTTTTTGAGAAAATGCACGATAATGTCTGCAGCTCATCAAATCAGTAGTAATAATTTTATCTTATATGCGAGTATCGGTAATCGAGGATTTTCATTATCGAAATTGTCCTCGTTTACTGATGATCAGTCCAACTATCTTATTTCCACTTAGTTACTTTGATCACTGAAGAAGTCGAAAATCCACATTCTATATCCGAACAACAGTTAATCATCATTGGATATCAGCACTCTACTAATTCAGGAGATTGCACAAAATTGTCACAACGCACCAACTCAGTCGTTTATAAGTAACATAACTACCTGGTACACATGTAGATCAGCCTAATCTGTTCATACGATAAGCTACTAATCACAAATCCAGCTTTAATACAGTGAATGCGACTATTGCTATCATCATCTTCACTGCCTCACTAACTAGAGTAAGAAGTCGAGTTGTTGTTTAGAAGCTTGTTGATCCAAGAACCAGTAAAACCCAAAATACATTTATGATATCAGATGGGTTTTGTGGAGATTGTAGTAATTTCAATGGTTAAGATCATGAGTCAGTTGAAGCTAGACCACCCTGGAAAACCTGGAAGCACTGGACGGCCGTCTATCGATTATGATTATCACAGTTTACGATTCGAATAATTGTCAATGAACACAAATCAGTGAGGAACGTATTGAAAGTCTATAAACAGAATTTACACCTAATTATTTAATGTAACAAGAATTCATCTTAAATCGATATTGATTTTCTTTCTATGTTGTATTTATTTATTTATTTATTTATTTGAACACATAAATATTGGTACAAGAGAGCGCCAATATATATGCGCCACACAAAACAATGGGAATTCAAAGAGAAGTAAAAAGAAAAAAAAAGAAAAAAAACTAAGGAACGCAAAAGAAAAAGAGAGTAATGACGAAGAGGTACAATCAGAAGAAATCTTTCAGGTAAAGGAGAGACAACCACTTTTTATGAAGAAAGTAAAAGAAGGTTACAGCAGGATCGCCACTGGCTTCTATTCTGAGCCATATCTGATAACGTCTCTAGCCACTGTGTAGCACCATCTCTCGGACCCCAGCCAGGGAGTCGTGAAGGACCAACACAAGCCAGTCCTTTGCAGCTTTCTTTCATGCCACGACACCATGTCATGCACTGACCACCTCTCCGCTTCTTCCAACCAGTCCCAGAGTCGGCAAATAATGCACGACGTGGAATTCTCTGGGACGACATTCGTAGAACACGTCCAAGCCACCGAAGTCGATGTTTCAAGATGGTGACACCAATTGAGTTATCATCTCTGTGCCCGAACACACGATGCCGAACCTCTGCATTACTGACATGGTGTTGCCACTGAATGTCAGCAATCCTTCGGAGACAGCGATGATCGAACACAGAGAGTCGTCTAACGTCCTCAACTCGGAGAGGCCAGGTTTCACAAGCATAGAGCAAAACTGCTCTCACCGACGCGTTGTAGATCCGGCCTTTTACAGCCAGACTAACATCACGAAGGCGCCATAGATGGCCCAGATTGGCATAAGCCGCTCTGGCTTTCACTATTCGTGCATTGATCTCATCACTCACACCCCCACCAGCACTTAAGCAGCTACCCAGATACACGAACTTCTCAACTACGTCTATCTGCTCACCATCCAGGGTGAGTACAGGATTAGAATCCTGAGAGTCTTGTAGAAGTACTTTGCACTTCGAAGGTGCAAAGCACATACCAAACCTACGGACATTGATTGCCAACTGATTAAGTGCAGATTGCATGCCTTGGGCATTATCGCACAGTAAGACAATATCGTCCGCATACTCAAGGTCGAGAAGTCTTTCTCCAGGCAACAGATCCACACCACCATTACTTACATTCATCAGAGCTGTTTCCAGAATGTCATCGATGGCAAAGTTGAAGAGGAATGTTGAGATTGGGCAACCCTGCCTAAGTCCACTGCTCGAATGGAACAATGGAGAGAGGTGGTTGTATGCCCTCACTCTGCCTGAGGTGTTTTTATACAGGGCTTTTAGGATGTTAATAAACTTCTCAGGCACACCCTTCTTCAATAGACAATCCCAGAGAACAGTCCTATCCAACGAATCGAAGGCAGCCCTGATGTCAAGAAACACTACGATTGTTGGCCTTTGAAAAGTATGGCGGTGTTCTAACATTTGGCGGAGGGTGAAGATATGATCAATACATCGTCGACCAGAACGAAACCCAGCCTGCTCCTCGCGAGTCAATCTTTCTCGGGTTTTGAACAACCTACGAAGAATGACGGAAGCCAATAGCTTGGACGCAATCGGAAGTAAACTTATCCCCCGATAGTTGCTACAAGAACGACGTGAACCCTTTTTAAAGATAGGGACAACTATCGACTCATTCCGTGACGTTGGTACACTCTCTAGTTCCCAAACCTTTGTAAACAACGTCGTCAATTCCTTAGTCAAAAAGTCACCACCATCTTTAAAAAGAGCCGGAGGTAAGTCATCTGGGCCAGGTGATTTGTAACGCTTCAAGAGTTGGAGTTGGAGTTCCTTGCGGACTTCCTCCTCATTTGGTGGATCAGTCGTCACCGGCCATGGAGGGCAGGACAGTCTGACCGATGTTGCCGGAGCAGCAGGCCAGTTGAACTGCCCTTCGAAAAATTCTGCCCATCGTCCAAGACGTCGATGGATGTTAGTGATTGGGATCCCATCATCCTCGCAGATTGTTTCACTCACACCAGACTTCTTGCTGCCAGTGGCTCGGATGAGTTGGAAGAGATTCCGGTGGTTACCAGATGCAGCTGCTGCTTCCAGCTCATTAGCACGCATCGACCACCAGGCTTCTCGGTCCTTACGCAAGCTTTGCCCGATTTCCTTACGTAACATCCTTCGTTTATGGTCAAACTCACGGTTACCCGGAGTAGACCGACGGGCTTCAATGAGTTGTAAGGAACCAGAAGAAACCCAGTGCTTAAAAGCGGGACGTTTCGCAAACCCACAACTGACTGTTCCCGCCATTTTCATGGCGTCATGCAATTGCAACCAATGCTCATCTATACTTTTCGGTGGAGTGGTAGCTAGCCTAGAGGCTAGCTCGGTTCGATACTTACTTGCAACAGAAGTTGCAACCAGCTTGCTAACATCAATCCGTTGATGGCGTTCACTTCGTTGTCCACTGAAAAGTAAGGCAAGATTGGCGCAGACCAAGGCATGGTCAGAGTCCAGATAGGTACTCCAAAAGGAGCGGCAGTCTTTTACACAACCACGCCAGCGGTAGCTGATCGCGATGTGATCAATCTGAGTCCAGGCTTGAGATGCAGAGGGAGGACGCCAGGTGGCACATCGGCGATGACTGTGCCGAAAGTTAGTGCTAGCCAGAAACAGGTTGTGGTCTGTGCAAAGTTGCAGTAGACGGTCCCCGTTATCTGACCTGCGACCAACGAGTCCCCATCGGCCACCTAAACGACTCTCTTCTGTGCCTAGACGCCCGACCTGAGCATTCAAGTCTCCGGCTAGTACTACAATATCTGTCGAACGCACTTTCTGGAGAAGAACTGATAACTGGTGGTAAAACTCATCCTTGATTGCATCCGGGCTGCAATCTGTCGGGGCATAGGCGGAGATGACGAAAAGACATCGTTTCTCACGCCGATTTCTTCTCACTTTGATGGAACTTTCTAATCTAACAGCACATAACCGACTGTTAATGGGGATCCAATCGACTAGTGCTGCCTCAGCTCTAGCGCTTAGTGCGACACCAACGCCAGCAAGACCAGACGAAGATGCCACAGGGTCCCCGGATAAGCGCACGTAAAACAAGCTTTTCGAAGCGACAGACGGAGATCGAATTTGTAGTACTTCGCCAGAGTCTTGAATACGGGTCTCGGATAGACAACACACGTCGATATTAAGACTTTCCAAAGACATAGCCAACCCTATCTGTTGTCCGACCTGCATATATGTGCGAACGTTGAAGGCAGCCAGTTTGAATGGTGCACGTGGTTTCAGAAAATCTGCTTCAGTCCTCGTATTCGGTGGTAACATACAATTTTCAACCGGACAGTGACTCGAGAACGTTTAGATACAGTCGGAATTCCACCAAAGACGAGCCGCTGTATAAGTATAAAAGAAGGTGAATAATGTGGAAAATAATAATAATAATGATAATAATAACAATAATGACAATAATAGTAGTAATAATAATATTAGTATTAATAATGACAATAGTTGTAATGATAATAATCTGAATCAATTGTTTGTTTTCCAAAGCGACAAAAGTAATTTCCATAGACGTAAAGAGTTCATCATTTGTGTGTGGGCTGTGATACTGCCCGGGTGCCCAAACCGAAGCAGGTGGTTATCTTAGGGGGCCACTCCCCGAGCCTTTGACCTAAGGGTCTAACCCACAAGGCAGTGGGGCATCGTAAGGAGATGCAGTCCCATGGCAGCCGGTGACCAACGATTGGTTCATACGCCATTCGTTCCCGCAGGATACTGGAGCCCATGTGCACCATTGATTTGGGAATCCGGTTAAAGCGCCGGACATTCGCTTTTCGTCCTCTCATTTTCGTAAACAACACCCCCGCCACGAGAAGGCAATGAGTAGGACTTCCCTGGCAGAGGCTGTATACGCGTGGCCGTGTGAGAGTATTTCGAGAGGGAGAGCGGACTCTCCCCACTCTCGGCCGTACCAGGGCATTCAGGGGGCATGTTGTATTTAAGGAATCCTTAATGTTGTATTTAAGGATTCCATACCCCCAACTTGTCTGAAGTTACCATACCACATCAGTACAGCAAGATAAAATAGTAGCAGTAGTACCAGTGATAGTAAGAAAGATCTGACATCGAGGATATAATCCGAGAAAAAAAGAGAAAATGCAAGGAAATAATAGGTACCATCTCTACATAACGTATCCTCCATACAGTCATTCTTTGTTCTTAATGCTCATTATCATACATTCCTGTCTTTACTGTTTGATGCGTATGGCTAAATCAACTGCAAAGGGGAAAATAACCAACAACACTGATCTTCAGAATAAGAGGAGCTTCGAAAAACTCAAAGCGATTGTCGAACACTGTTTACACACTTTGGTACAAGACTTACAGTCATCATACCTTTATTGAGTTAACCGTTCCATTTATTCATAATTATGATTCCATAGTCTGTACATATGATTCCACACTACTTTGTCAAATTTGGGATCCCATTACATGTTTCGGAAACTCATATTTATTAATGAATTATTTCACTTTACCACTACTCTTAAGATATTTCTAACTATCTTAGGATCTTGTGAAACCTTAGGACTATTGGGTAACTGGATTTTTCTAATTCGTACATCTTAGATGAACTCACAAATCAATCAATTAATTGTATACTTTTTTTAAATATGCTGCAAATGATTATAATATATTTTCGATCATCTTTTTTTGTCGATATATGTAAAGGTGGCTAGTAAATGATAGTTTTCGAACAGACGTGTGCCTGCATTATCCTCCCTATATAATTGCTCTAGGTATGTTCTTTTTTAACCATATGTATTATTAAGTCCTTATTTCTCTTAGATTCTAATGAGCTTTATGTAAAGTCCGACTGGCTACTTTATTTCATTTCATTTAAAATATTAAAGTTTCCGAACAACTGGCCACTACAGTAATCATTACTAATTGAGTGAGTGCCCGAGCCTTTAACTACAAGATCTCATCCCTAAGGTAGTGGATTAGCACCAAGTGATGCGATCTCTCGATAGCTAATGACCAGAGTAGATTCATACTCCATTTGTTCTTTCAGGACCTTGGAGCCTGTATGCATTAGTGAGTTTCGCAACCCCCTAGATAGGTCTCTCAAATCCATCAACTCGGTTTAATTTACTGATGCCCACTTTTTCTCCTCATTATGGTAAAAATACCTTCATCATGAGACGCTAATGATTAAAGGTTTCATGAAATAGTCTATAGACACAAGACCCTATGAAAGCACTTCGAAAACTAGGACAAACTACTCACTTTCAACTGTAACATTGCATTGTAAAGCATTCCTTTGCGTAATAAATTAGTTTTTGTGACAGTTCATAGAAAAGAATATGAATAGACGTAGTTGTGACAAGAAATCTAGTTGCTCCGTTACGAAGGAAAACCTTTATATAAGTCTGGAATTTAAAGGTGATCGAACATCAGAAGTAATCAAAAACCGTCTAACAACGACTATTAGAAGAACATTTAATGCAGCTAAATTGCGAATAACCTTCACGAGTAGGAACTTATTTTCTGTGTCCATAAAAGACAAGCTTCCGCGTCTGGTCGCCTCTATGTGCATCTACCAGTTCACCTGCTCTTGTGGAGCAAGGTACATTGGCCGTAGCCAGCGCTCGCTTTCAACTGGGATACGAGAACATATTCCAGCTTGGTTCTATGGGGGGGGGAAAGGAAAGCAGTTAGGAGTTCTATACTTGAACACCTAATCGACTGTAACCATTCCACAGGTCCAAAAATGAATTTAAGGTTGTTTATATGATTCGTTAAAATCTACCCAGATTTCTTCGCATCAAACGTTTAAAAATAGCCGAAGCTCTTACCATCCAGGAGCTTAAACCAGAACTATGCGTACAAAAGAAGTACGTCTTATCGTTATCGTTACCTTGGCCTTAAGTATTTTGATTATCCAATCATTATTATTATTATTATTACTGCATTCCCCCCCCCTTTACTTATGTCTTATATTTTTATTGTTTTATTCATAAATACTCATCATCTCACCTTATTTATTTATTACACCTCTATGACCTTTAATTATTATAACAAAAATATTTTAATCATCTTATTATATTCACTAAATCTATTGTTATTATTCATATTACGTAATCTAGTATTATAACCCTTTTTTATTAACTGTGTTCATATTTCCCCACGGAATTAGTACTTTTACAAAAACAAAATTTTCATATATATATACGATTGTACAGCTTGATAATAAATTCGTTGAAAAGAGATCCCTTCTCTGAACTTCGTGTTTTAATTTTAATGTTAAATATTTTTTTTATTCTGTTGTGTATGTAATCTGTAATATAAAGAACTGTAAAATTATTCTAATAAGACTTATGCATCCTCTGTAATAATCACTATTTCACGTTTTTATCAATTTTATCTGGAACAACCTAGAAGTCACATTCTTTCTGGAAGTATTAACTTACGTTTATTTTTATTACCTAATAATTCCTGTCAACCCAACCATGCCCATAAACTATTATGCACTCGATACTAATTTTCAGAATATATTATTATTCAAAACAAAACACAGGTTGTCTACAACTGGCTGTTGTGATTATTTCAAGTAATCCTGACCTATTAATCGGCTCCGTCAATATCAGTTCATCATCATTTATGAATTCCAGTCTATCTATTTCATCAAATAAACATGGTTATTTTGGGCACCAACCCCAATCAACTGTCAATCCTTCATTGGTTGCTGATCGTTGGTTCAGTGAATTAAATGTAGATATGGAAAGAGTGAGCATAAACTTATTTTTGTTTATTTGAATGATTGTGTGCTGTTGTGTCTTTGCAATAAGTAATTATTTTTGGTAGATGGATTTTGTTTCTGAGGTAAGAGGGATTTTATCATCGGCTCAACATTACGTGGGGTCTTGTTGACCCTTCTAATTATGAATCCTTTTATTTTATCCAGTGTGCTCGCTTGTTATTCAAGACAGAGAGATAGTTTAATACATCGTAGAAGTACCTTATGCTGGATAATTTGTTTTTATTTTGTTGACCATTCTATTAACAGCATCTGCAGACGAATCAGAACTGATAGCACTTTAGAGTGGAACCAGAAAAATGCCGTGCCACAAAGGCACCACAACGTGTTTAAAGAAGAATTGGGAGAATGTACGATGCCCAAAGCATTGTTAACCCTAAAACCTTCAGCTACTTCCGTCTTTCGACCCAAAAGACCTGTACCATATGCTGCTCTTCCAATAGTTGAACAAGAACTACAACGACTTCAGGAAGTGGGTGTTATCGAATCTGTGAACCTCTCAAACTGGGTTGCACCAATAGTGGTTGTCAAGAAGTCGAATGGAAGCGTCCGTCTATATGCAGACTACTCTACCGGATTAAATGAAGCTCTAGAGTCTCACCAGTATCCGTTACACTTACCAGAAGGTCTTTTCGCCAAGCTGAACGTTGGCAGATATTTTGGGAAATCGGACTTATCAGACGCGTATCTACAAATCCCGGTATCTGATGAAAAAAAGATCTGACGATCAACGTGCACAAAGGTCTGTTCCGGTATAACCGACTACCTTTTGGGGTGAAGACGGCTCCCTCTATTTTCCAGCAAGTTATGGATACTGTGTCACAAGGTATTCCAGGGGCAGCAGCTTATTTAGACGATATCACAATTATGGCAGCAGACAAAATGGACCTGCAGAAGAAACTTGACCAGGTACTAGAACGCATAGCCGATTATGGTTTTCACCTCCGAGCGGAAAAGTGTGACTTCTATATGCAGCAAGTACGGTACCTTGGGTTCATAATAGATAAAGGTGGGAGACGACCAGATCCAGAGAACATTGAAGCTGTGAGAACAATGCCTAGACCTAGGGACATTCCTACCCTACAATCGTCCTTGGGACTGGTCAGCCATTATGGTACCTTCCTCCCCAAACTCCATCTTCTACGTGCTCCACTAAACCACCTACTACAAAAGAGTACAAGATGGACTTGGTCTGCGGTTTGTCAAACATCTTTCGAGAAAATCAAGCAACTTCTAATTTCCAATCTCTTATTGACGCATTATGATCCTTCGCTACCAATAGTCGTTGCCTCAAATGCTTCTAACTATGGTGTGTGCGCAGTTATCACTCCCATTTTTCCTAATGGGTCTGAAAAAGCTATCTCCCACGCTGCCAGATCTTTGACAACGACCGAAAGGAACTATAGTCAAATTGAGAAAGAAGCCCTATCAATTATCTTTGCGGTGAAAAAATTCCACAAGATGATATATGGACGAAATTTTACCCTGATAACAGACCATAAGCCACTACTTGGAGTTTTGGGGTCAAAGAAAGGAATTCCTGTTCATACAGCTAACCGACTTCAACGATGGGCAACCACACTTCTGGGTTACGATTTCAAGACCATTTATCAGTCTACTACCGCCTTCGGGCAAGCTGACGCATTATAAAGATCAAAAGGCTCCCAATTAAAAACCCCAGAGAAGGCTTGTAGCAAATATAAAAACTGAGAAAAAAGTTCATCGCGTATTGGATGACGCAATCAATGAACTCCCAGTAACCTTTAAAAATATCAAGAAGATCACTGAATATGATAAGACATTGAGCACAGTCAAATGCTATCTCTCGATCAAATGGCCAAACAATCGCCTCGACAGAAAACTTTTGTAATATTTTCGTCGACGGGACTCACTAATGGTTATCGACTCATGTATTATGTCCGGTGATCGAATTGCTGTTCCGAATTTATCACGTCACAGTGTTCTCAAGCAGTTTCACAGTGGCCATCCTGGAATCAATAAAATGAAATCGTTGGCTCGTAGTTATGCTTATTGGCCGTCAATGGACAAAGATATCGAGAATAAGTGCCGTAACTGTCCATCATGCATTCAAGCTGCTAAAAATCCTTTGAAATGTGAACCTCAGTATTGGCCAATGCTTGCAGGACCCTGGGTAAGACTTCACGCAGATTTTGCTGGTCCAATCTAAGGGAAAATGTTTCTAATTATTGTGGATGCATTTACTAAATGGCCAGACGTATATACCATGCTTAATTGTACGACATCAGAAACAGTTCACAAGTTGTCTACCTTGTTTAGCTGCTACGGAGTTCCAGAGACCTTAGTAACTGATAATGGCTCGCGATTCATGGCAGAATCGTTTACGCATTTCTGCAGCGCAAATGAAATAACTCATCTTTGTTCTCCGCCCTATCATCCGCAATCGAACCGACAAGCAGAACGTTTTGTCGACACTTTTAAACGAGCATTACTGAAAGGGAGAGGCGAAGGGACAACTGGACAGATAATCACAAAATTTTTAACACCCTACAGAACCACTCTGAACCCAAATGTTCCAAATAGTAAGTCTCCTGCTGAAGCTATGTTCGGAAGGCGTATTCGGACCGTTTTCAACGCCATGTTGCCATTCAATTAGTGGATGAGCACAGTTACAATCCAAATATCCGGAGCTTTAATGTTGGCGACGAAGTTTTCATTAAATACTACCTCGGGAAAAACCGATGGGAGCCGGGGAAAGTTGTACAAAAATTGGGAAAAGTTTTGTACAGAGTCCGAGGAACTTTTGGAACATATATACGACATACGAATCAGATCCATAAAGACAAAAGAACGATGCAGACTCAAAATAACCAGCCGAATCTTCCGTTAGAGTTAATCTTAGACACATCGACTTTACATATACCCAAGGACACTGAAAAGAAGCTTCGGTCAAGGAAGACACCGCCGGAAACCAGTTGTCAAACCACAAGTGGATCCTAGAGAGAAATCTTATTCGGGGAGGTGTTAAGTCGGCTCCCGAGAACTACAACGGAGCCTCCAGAGGCCCTAATTGAGCCGAAGAGTTTCAGCCAATCAGAGCACGAGGGAGCTTTCTAGAATATTAACGTGGTATGCTACTATTGGTCAGTAGCATAAAATGTCTTTTAGCGGATTGGCCAAAATATAAACTACCTTGGTTGGTTTGATAATTTCGTATATGCATATAAATATTACTGTATATTAGATTAAAGCCTGATGAGGATCTAATCGAAAACAATATTGTTCGCTTATATATGTTGTTCTAAATTTACAATATGGGAATATTTCAAATTTTAATGTTGATTTGACAAATGCTAATAATCTATAAATACCCTTTTTTTGTACAAGAAGGAACCTTCGGAGTAAAGTGCTTTTCGCTTAATTTGCGCCTTTTCTCGCGTGTTCAGGTTGCTGCGTAGTTCTAGCTTGCGGGTTACCAGAATAGCTTAGGAACCGAATAAAGTGTTCAAATTAGCAAGACTTATCACAATGAAAACTATAAAACATATATATGTCATCTTAATCCAACTTATTACATTAGTCAGGTGAAGTTGATTTGGTGAGCAAAACTTCATATATACACTGAAAACTGATCTCTCAGCAAACATGTAATGATAACCATGATTTTGAGTTTAGGCCGATTGATCAGTGGTTAAAGTGCTCGACTTTCAACTACTAGGTTGAAATTCATTGCACTTCTGTCTAAATAACCACCTAGTGTCATTTAAAAAAATGAGAAATCAGTTGATGAGGTAGCGAACGTTCATATGTATTAAGTATCCCCAATAACCGCCTATTTGGACGCATGATGATGACTGTTGTATGAGTAGGTTCGACGAAATCTGTACGCAGTAAAGCCAAAAAATGCCATCGATCCATGAAGTCATTTACTGTTGGGTCGAGCCGTGTTAGTGTGTGCAGTTTACCTATTTGGGGTCCTTGTAACCATTCTAACTAGTGGTTGGGGACGACGAATGTTGTCGCTCAAAATTGGTCGTAATGAGGCAAATATGCTTACTCTTCGTTTTCCCTTGGTTCTTTCATTCTGGAATCACATGTAAGCGACTACTGCTGCTACTCGTCTTCATAATTTCATCCCGCTGTGCTGACATGATGTGGCAATTTGGACAGATGCACATATGTACCATGTTCTACATTGTTTATGACTGACTATTGTCATTAGCATTTACATAAAATGTAGTTGGAAGCCAAGTGCATTTAATTACCGAATTATATATATATATATATATATATATATATATATCGGAATAATGGTCTTGTTGTGGACCCATCATTGAAATAAAGAATTGTATATTTTATCCATATTTTACAAATTCCAACCTTACAATTGTATTGTTTAGAAATTTTATTAGTATCTGAAAATTTATAAATTTCTTCCACTTGTGGTTCAAGTCATTGTTGATCAACCAAATATGGTTCTTGGTAGACTCGGGATGTGCTTTCCGTCCTATTTAAGACCTCTACCTTCATACTCGTTGAACAAGTCAGTGGCTATCTCAATTCAGTTTCTCAGTGAACAGCCCAGTAGCGTTTGCATCAAGAGGTACTAGTTTCAAGTCTCAGTGTGAACATCAACATTCGGATACATGCAGACAAGTGCCAAATAGGATGAGACTCATGTCCTGAATCTTACTTCCATATACATACCAAATAATTGAATGTTGTTAGCAACAAAACACATCATGTAATCCGCATAACGTACTCTCTATGTTTATGTACTGACTTTCCAACTAAAAAGCATTTTTGATGGGAATGGTTTTCTTTTCGTTAATGGAGCTCATACTCGTGGTTGTGACATTGTAATATTCTACAGTCAAAAGTTAAACATAAAAAATAATGAGATTGAGATATTTTTTTAGCTTAAGATAGATTTGTTTATCATGATTAGATTCAAGCACTTGTTGGAGTGTTTCTCTATTATTATTTGATTTTACTTTATGAAATTGTTGGCATTATCAGCGCTTAAACTCAGCTACTAATGAATACTTCTAGTATTTGGCAAATTAAGTTAGACAATGGAAGGAGACAAACTATGCTTAATGTTGTATTATTGAGTGATAAGTAGTATATATTTTTAGAATTACCAAAACAGCGCATCTGAGGTCGAATAAAATGGAAAAAATCATCTTGGCTTCTCAGTATTTTTAAATTCTACAATAGATAATAATTAGTTTGTGTTTAACTCTTATTCAAGGTCATAAGCGCGACATTAACAATCAAATCTCAACTCATACATGCACGAAAATCGGCTCAATGTGACTGGACAGGATAACTAGTAAAAAAATAGTTAGCTTAAGATTAACCAGTAAAATTCAACAAAGGGAACAAAATCTAATTAATTATAAGTAGTATAGTTTTAGTTCAGAAATTCCACTGTCACAACTTATTGGTATTTCAGATTGATATCATGAACGGACCGATGTTGGACCACCAGTGAAAACCTGGAGACACTAGACGTCCATTTCGTCCCAGCATGGGACTCCTCAGCGGTGCTCATTCACGATCCTGTGCGCGGGACTCGGACCCAGGACCTTCGGTCTCACGCTAAAGCTTAACCTTTAGACCACTGAGCCGGCATCCAACGGTGTCATTCGCTGATACAAATCTAAGCTCAACAGTCTCCACAACCCATTACTGATAATTATCGGTATTTCTAGGTAGTCAAAATTATTAAGATTGTCAGCGTAAAAAATGACTTTTGTCCTAGCAAACAGTTCGGTTGTCCACTGTAATTTTTTTTCACATCTACAATTTTATTGATTTACCATGAAATCTTGATGTGGTATTCCACTCTAAAAAGTTCTATTGTCCAGGTGCTCTCCGTCTTTTAAAAGCAGCTACTTTGTATTATATCGATAAATTTTGTCCCATTCAATCTGATTTTTATTGTTTATCTTCTTTCCCTCATTAAGATTATTTGATTCTATAATATTACTGTGTAATACTGTTTCATATTACTTTAGGTGTTGGAAATTTCTCGTCATCTACTTAGTTTGTATGATTTATGGCGTCGTTTTGATGAACTTGCTGAAATGCCTAACATATTATTAAAAAAACTTCCACGTCCTGTCATTCAATCGCCACATACTTCACAAAATTACCAATCTGGCAATTCTGTCAATCCAACGGGTTGTAATAGTACTTCTGCAACTCAATCATCTAATCTATCTAGTGGGACACAACAACAAACTCATGGTGGATCAATGGTTGTTCCATCGGGTACAGGTGCTGTTGGTACAGGAAGTAGTAGTGGTGCTACTGGGACTGTTGGTAGTATACATAATATGCCGGATCACCAAACTCAACAACAACAAAGATCAATGACGTCATCTAGCCAACCACGTTTGCATCCACAAGGTGGTGGAATGCAGCATATGGGAGTCAGGTAGACCGATAAGAACAAAGCGATTATGGCTGCATATCTGTATAAAACTTTGGCAGTATATACTTATATATATTCAGTTCTATATACACAAATAATATATATTCCCTGGTTTATTTCTGCTGAGTGTATTTGTGTGGGTTAACCAAAGCTTTCACGTGTTAATTTTGAACGAACATGTCGTTTTAGCAATGTAGCAGTATATCAGGTCAGCTGGAATAAATACTTTTCAGTATATGATTGTGGAGATTATTGAATTTCATTGAAAATATAACCCGGTTTAAGTTATTTTGTGTATTACTGATCTTAACTACTTATAAGTAGTAGGTTTATCACTCGAAAAGGTTTCTTCGATTTCATCTATAGTGGTGTGAGTTTTAATGAATACACAATTACGATGTCAATTTGTGATGAATAATTTATGATTTCGCTAAAAAAACAAAGTCTGGCCATCATATCAAGGTTGATAAAGGTCTGCCAATGATTAATCATTTTTTAACCAGGTTGGTATGATATTTCACTATGCATAATATAATCTGAAATTTTTTTCAAGCTTAATACTAAAGGCGATCACTTTCTGATGAATTTTTTATATAGAGTTAAGTCTGAACAGGTATTCTTATTTTAGTACGTTATGGGAGAAATAAAACAGAAACAACTTATCAATGTAATGGTGAACCACCTAGTTAAATAAGTAAAGAATGTAGCGAAAATTTCTACAATCAACACATTATTTAATTTTGTAAGGTTGAATTCATGAGTCGATCTATGCTAGACCACCACTGAAAACCTGGAAGCACTGGACGGCCGTTTCGCCTTAGTATCAGACTCAGCAGTGCGCAGCAACAATTCCGCACGCGGGACTCGGGCCCAGACCCATCGGTCTCTCGCGAGAACGTTTAACCTCTAGACCAGCTATCCTGCCCCTAATATTTCCTACCACTTCTGTTACTGTTACTATTTGTCATTCGTCGTAATAATTGCATGGTGTGGCAACTTGAATCAATGTGCGCAAATATACCATGCTCTATGTTGCCTACAACCTACTGATTGATTTAAATGAATGTAAAATGTTTTGGATTGTCCTGTTGCTGATATCATTTTACTGGGATTTTATCGGTCTTCCATCTATTCTATATCATCTTGTGTCATAACGGCTATGTAGAGGCAATCTGCAAAGAATCCCCACATGCCAAATAAAACTAATCGAATTTTCAGTCAAGTGAATGGATATCCGGACTCAGTGGCTAAGTGAATAACGCAATGATATCTGAAGTGAATGGTACTAAGTCCGAGTTCCATAGTGAAAATCAACTCTAGGATTCAGGTACATCCAGCTAATGAGTTCCACTTAGAACGAAACTCACATCCTGGATCTCACTGCTAGTTACATACCATCTGTTCTATGGTAACTGGTTGATTCCTTTGTTTAGAAATTCTTGTTAGAGATCTAATCAATTTAAGGTGAAAATATGAACTATTGGATTTTTGATCTCGTGTATTTAAAAAAATTGTATTTGTTGTGACGCCTGAAAGTCTTCAGTTAGATTCCATATAAAGTTGCATGTATATGTACTATTAAAGGGTTATGATTTGGATTTAAGATAATCTTTTCAATAATGTCAGTTGTGAAAAAAGTCATCTTTAAAAGTTTGTAAAACTACCTTGTGTGACTTTGTTTCTTCAATAAATTTGTGTACTTGAATTAATAGTGCTAAAAGTTTATTTACCTTTTTCATCACAACTCAGTTCGATTTTATATATTTTTAATTAATTCAGTCTAGTATTTCGTTGACATCATTCACATTGTCACTACATTAGACCATATGATATAGTTTAACGAAGAACGAAGGTATATATATATATATATATATATATATATATATATATATATATAAACTGATATATTTTTTATATACACACAACTGTATGAATATGTTTTTAAAAGTTCGTTGAGATCAATATATTTTTACTAATTAGAGGTTAATTGGAAAAAGATGAATTTATCAAATCATTACTATATTCGACCGCTACTCTTAATTAGTTACTTACTTACACCTATTACACTTCGTGAAGTAGCATAGGCTGTCTACCAGCATTCTTCGTCCAACTTTCTCCTGAACAATCCTATCTGGTTGTTTTCGTTGCTATTCATCCTTCTAATGTTTGCTTCCGATTCCAGACGTGGTGTGTTCTTCAGCCTTCCTCTATTCCGTTCCCCTTCAGGATTCCAAGTTAGCGCTTGTATCGTGATACAGTTTGATGATATCCTCAATGTATGTCCTATCCACTTCCAGTGCCTTTCCTAATTTTCTCTTCAGCTCGAAGCTGGTTTGTTCTCTCCCGCAATAGATTGTTGCTGATGAGATTAAGTATCTTGTGTAGTAAATGGTTTGTTAATACTTCTGCATTTTTGATGATGGTTGTAGTAGTTCTCCGTTTCAGCTCCATACAGTAGAACTGTCTTACCATTCGTATTGAAGATTATGACTTTGCAATTGGTTGACAGTTGTTTTGATTTCCATATGTTCTTCAATTGTAGGAATGCTGCTCTTGCTTTTCCGATCCTCTCCTTTACGTCTGCATCAGATCGTCCGTGTTCATCGATGATACTGAGCAGGTAGTTGGACGTTTCCAGAGCTTCTCCATCAAATGTGATCGCGTTAGTGTTCTCTGTGTTGTATTAGAGGATGTTGCTCTTTCCTTTGTGTATATTGAAGCCTATTGATATAGAGGCTGTTGCTATACTGGCTGTTCCGACCTACATTTGTTCGTGTGTGTGCATGGGATAGAAAAGAAGGCAATCTGCGAAGTCCAAACCTTCTAGTAACATCTAAGCTAACTATTGTATTCCACGCTTCCACTGAGATATGGAAGTCTTGATGATCCGATCAATCACCTTAAGAATGATAAGGGGCAAGAGTGAGCAGTCTTGTCAGACACCGGTCCTCACTTCGAGTGAGTCTGTGAGTTGTCCTCCACCCACGACTTCACAGTGTAGTCCGTCGTATGAATTCCGAACGGTGTTGACGACCTTTTAGCTACACCATAATGTTGAAGAAGTTTACATAAGGTCCTCCTATCCACACTCTCAGATGCTTTCTCATAGACAAAGAATTTGATAATATAAGGATGAACTACATTCAATCGATTGTTCAACGATGATCCGTAGGGTTGCGCTTTTGTCTGTGCACGATCAATCCTTACGAAATCTAGCCTGTTAATTTCGAGGTTGGGCGTCTACTGAATCTTCTTACGGCTCAACAACACTTGAAAAATTTTTCCGCTACTGATAGTAGCGTAGTGTCTTTGTAGTTCTCCAACATTTTGAGATTTTTCTTCGGTATCTTGATGAGATATCCTTCTTTCAAGTCCGGCGGCACTTGTTCTTCCTCACAAACCTCCTGGATAGAACATAGAATATCTTCGCAGTCACTTCTATACCTGACACCTATTGGTTCAGTCTGTAAGCTTTCAGGTAGTGCTGTTTTCCCCTTCTTTATTTATCTGACGAACATCCTGATTTCTTCGGTCGTTCACGGAGTGACATCTAAAAGGTTTGTAAGTGCTGCTTCGATGTCCGATGAGTTCAGTGGAGCTGGTCTATTCAACAGTTCCTTGGAGTGTTCTACCCATCTTTTCCTCTGTTCTTGAGTCTCGTTGATTTTCTTACCTTCTTTGTCCCTGACTTTTCTCTCTCCTTTACCACATTTCCTGCCAGTTTCTTCGTTTTGTCATATAGCTGTCTCATACTTCTTTCTCCTGAAACCTTTCCTCTGTCGTTGCTCGATCTTCCACATATTTCTGCACTAGTGGTCTTCTCCACTTGCTTGTTTGTTTCTGTTTATACGGTCTGTGCCTTGACTTTCTCTGTTCTTTTTCGACTGTTGTTAATTTCTGTCTTCTTGTTCTTCCTCTCTTGAACCTTGTGCAGGGTCTCGATCTTTGTGATGATGCCTGATACAGCACAGCACCTGACAATTTGAAGTTAGTGCTTCTTTAAGCGCAGTTGTTCGCTGCTTTGCCAACTTCTATTTAAGCAACCGGATAGTATTACTAGCTTTAAAGTGTAGCTTGAAGTCAAAAATAAATCTGTGCTCGATAATTATTTAGTACTAATAATCGTCATATCAATGTTACCATAGGAATGCTTCTTATTGTCAGTTATATGCATCCCTTAAAATGTGGAAAAAACTAGCTGAGTTTCCTAAGTGAAATAAGATATTTTCAAGAAATCCTTTATTGCATTGTGTAGGGAGCAATTTCCTACAGGTTTAATTCTGAGCTATTCTCTAGACCGTCGAATACAGAGTCTTGTTTTGGCCAAAGTCAAAACAAGCAAGCTATTTGGCTAGATA